TATATATATATATATATATATATATACGATCATGAGTTATTAGAGTCTCACTCAAATCAATACACTTACATTATCGTCCGAGGGTGATACTCCATTAAAGAGTTGTTCAAATAGAATCTTCGAAAATACATACAAGCTGTGCCCTGAAAAACATATAGAAGTTTTAAAATAAAAAAAAGCAAGAACGGCACGCTAGATCTCATCTTTAACTGATAAAAGTGATATTTATTACCACAACAGATTTAGGCATCGCAGGCTTGAACATAGCGCTGAAGTCTAGCAATCTCTTTTCATAGTGTCTGAAAAGCACTTTCTCTTCTTGATCATCAAGAAACATGGATTCATTTATTCCAGGCTGAAAAACATAAAGTCAAAGTGTGATTGATGTTTATGCTGATAACACTATAAATGACTGGATTACTGTACTGTAGATAGATAGATAGATAGATAGATAGATAGATAGGGAAAAGTATATTTTGTAGACTTGCATGTAAAATAAATACATATAGAGAATCCCTGCAGGTGCCACTTACCTTTCCACTGGACATGCCTTTTAAACAAAACTTCCGATTAGCTTCTAGTCTTAATTTATCTAGGGTTTCCTCTTTATCATAAGTCCAGAATTTCTTCTGAGAGCTGTTGTGATACATCTTGAATGCAAGGCTGTGGATAGAAGAATACAAATATTATTACACACCAGATACGTGCATTTAGCTCTCGTGCAGAAGTCCAGTAGGTAGCAGACGAGTATACACATATAATTCTACTACTCACGAATTACTAGTATTCAAGTTATTGTACTGCGTTACCGAGGCAGTTAACTAAACAATGTTTTCAGATCTCATTAAAATTACATTTCATCCTAAGGATGAAATATTTCAATCTCACCCCTCTTGGGCAGGCAGTGACGCTCCGTCTGTGTATCAAGGATGGTCGTACAAATATCAAAGGGTTTTAAAAGATTGAGCTATTGATCTTATCTTTGTTTAAACCAAGGTTTCAACAGTAGACATGCGCGAGAACCGTCGCGTACGAATCACGCCACCTTTTAGTCGCCTTTGGATGATGTCAATTGTGTTCCTCACTCACACGA